CTCCAACAGGTGGTATGAATTTAAAACTGACCTAAGTGCTTTGATATTTATTTTCAAAAAGAGAAATAAAAATATTAAATATTAGTTTTTTTAAATTAAAATCAATAGACAAGAATCTAGGAAGAAAATTCAGTCTGTAGCAACTTGAACTTTAGGACACACTTTTCAGGCAAAAGATTCATAATTTTAATGGAAATTTAACCTAAAGAAGATTCCAAGAAGTCAGAGCATTCATTTTTACATTTTCTAATCTTTCTGATGGTGGAGTAGTTTTTCTCTTCGCTTGATGTGTCCTTTGACATACTATGATTTTCAAGAGTTTCTTTTTATCATTAGCTAAAAAGAAATTTCAGAAAAGGAAAAAGAAATCACCATAGTTTTTAAGACTTCAAGGGAGTATTGCACTTGTATGGAAAGGGAGAATATCTTAAAGAAATAGCAGAAGCAATCATTCTGAAATTGCAAATAACACATGGTCTAAAAGGCCCAACTATTAAGAGCAAATATAGGGCCTGGAGACTGTTCCAAACCTGGAATATTATCACAGAAATGTTAAAGCACTCATCTCCCAATGGGGAGACAGTTAAGACTTTGCTTTATATTTTTATCCTCTTTTTAAATGTTGTAAAAAAAGTCTAGTCTCTCATGATTTATATTTTAGAGGAAAGCCAAATCATGTAACATATAATTTGATCACAGAATCTCTGGAGTCATATTTTAGGTGGTCAATACTTGCAAATGAAGGCAAAACAAGAGTTATATAGCTTACCATCTTAATCCAACCATTTTTCTTTTTAATATAAAACTACACTTGAGTATAAAAATATGTCAGCAGATTATATAGCTAACAGAAATGACAAAGAGAATATTAAGACTTAATGAACTAGAAGTTCAGAGATGACCTCATCTAATAGTAGGAGCAGAGAGGTAAAGATGTCCAATGACTGTGGTGGAAAGGCTAACAGAAAGGAGAGAGGTGGAGGGAGGTTACAGAGTTGAAGAGGCTTTGAAAGGAGAGCTGAGCTTAGTTACACATAAGGGAAGTGACCAAGAACAAAATCTAAGAAAGTTCCACAGTCAAACTTTTTTTTTTTTTTAAATCACAGTTTCAGAATTTGAACAGCTTAAAAGACCAAAAACAACAACAACAAAAATCTAGGTTCCATGTGTTACAGTGTATACCTTTAAAATCCATTTCCAGTAAATTAAACTAAGTGACATCCTCATAAGTGCATATTAGGGGATGCAGTAACCTCCATCTGTCCCAGTTTCTCCTACTGTGTGTCACGTGAGGTAATAAGGCCTGATCACTGCAAACTGGCTTCTTTGTACCAATAGGAAGTTATATGCTGTACTTTACGTGGCTTAGCACAGGGCCTCTAAGTTTTATATTTTATTCATAATAAAAAAGTCATCTTAGAAAACTAGTCATTCATGTACCACTGTCTGTTTGGGATAAACATTAAGTTATAACAAATTCATACAGAACATATACAAATGCTGTATTATGGGCAAAAAACTCCATAAAGAGAACTATAAACTCATTTCTAAGAGTGCTTGTGAAAAATATCCACAAACATACAGTACAGCAAGGTAAAACTAAAGAGATAGAAACAGAATGTTACATAAAAACCTTATGGAAATTCCAAAATTTTAGGTTTTTGCAGTAAGTGTAAAAATATTCAAGGTGTTGTTATCTGGCCTAAAAACACACTCTGATAGAAAGAAACATGACCATATCACAGCTTCTTGGTCATATGACATTTACTGTATACAGCCAGCATCCCATTTTTTTAAAGAGCTGTCATAGTCTAAGACATCCCTCATGAGTAATACACATCCACAGTATGATGCCATTGGAGAGGATACTTTGGAGAACAGCAGTGTGACATGAATGTTGAGCTTTGTTTTGTTCGAGGAGAATCAGCGGCTGCGTTTCTATGTTATTTCATAAAACAACCAGAGATTAGAAGACAGAGGTTTCAAGATTAGAATAACATTAGTCTAGGCATAAAAATGCAAACAAATACTGTATTTGATTGACCCCAATTTTATGGATAAATGCTGGGTGATGCAAAGCGTATTCTTCCTCAAGAACAAAACAAAATACATACCATAATTCAATTAATTTGTAGAATTTGACTCTACCTTATATTTTGCCTATATAACCTCGTAATAGTATTCAAAAATATTATTAAGCTAAAAAGATTAAAATCTGGTTGCAAAATTTCTTTTTACTTTTACCAGATGAGCTGAAAGTTGGGAAATTCCTTTAGCAATTTTGCCCTAAGAACACAAAGATGAATTATAGAGTACTTAACTTTGTGATTTTTTTAAAAAATACACAATAAAAGTGTTGTAGAGCTGAAATAGCCAACCAACACTCTCAATGCATTTTAAAAAGGCACCAATATAGAATTTTGTAGGTATTTAATACATTAAATTCAGGACTTTAAGAGACCAGTTACTGTATATTTTAATTATTTTGCAGAAACTGGAAGATTAAAAATATTTATAAAATAACTTTTATATATACAAACTTTAAATTCACCCCTCACTTATTTTTTTCCTTTTGGGTCTGGGAAGTTGGTTTTTTTTTTTTTTTGCTGTGTAATAATTCTACAGATAGTAGTTATTAAAATAATTTATAAAGTATAACTGAAGATGACCACAAACCTACCATTTTCTTATAAAATGAAGAATCCAAGGCTAAAAGAGTGTAGTCAATATTTCTGACAGTCTGAGTTCTTCCTGATTTAGGGGCATGCAGCTTTTCTTTCTTTTTACGGTCCTCTCTGCACATCTTCTACCCTCAATTATCATTTTGGAGATAAGATGAGGTAAGGTTTTGGAAAAATATAGGTATAAATGCACATTTAAAACATTTACTGACTTCAAGGATATTATGGTTGTAGAACTGTGACACAAAAGTACAAATAAAAAATTTAAAAATCTCACAAAAATATTCATGACTTTCTCTATTTGCCAACAAGTTAAAGTTGGTACTTATTTCCTGATTTTTCTTTGTTTCAAAAAGAATTTAAATTTCTTTACATTTTTATCAATCAGCTTAACATCTTTTCACTGT